CTCTTGCTCTGGCTCCCGATCAAAATGCCGTAACTTTCAATCCGGCATGAAGGGAAAGTCGTCCTCACAGTGAGCGGCTCTCGTTGCCGCTTTCGATCAAAATGTCTCAATTTCCGATCCAACGGGAGGGGAACTGCGTCGAAGGAAGAAGCACGCAAAGGAAGAAAGTTATCTTCACAGCGAGTGAGCTCCGGTTCTTGCTTCCGATCAAAGCGTTGTAACTTCTGATCCGTAGGAAGGGAAAGTCGCTGTTGGAGCGACGTCGAACAGTCGAAAGGAGCCGGAGAAGCGTGCGAATGGAAGAAATTTATCTTCGCACACGTTGTTGCTTCCGATCCTAATGTCGTAACTTCCGATCCAGCAGGTAGAGAAAGTCGTCGGAGCAGCGAGGTCGGCCGCGGAGGAGCCGAGAGGCTTCGTGAAAGGGAGAAAGTTACCTTCGTAGCCAACGGAGCTCTCATTGTTGCTTTCGATCAAATGTGTCATAACTTCCGATCAGACAAGGAGGAGTGGGGTCGGACAGCAGCAAGAGAAGCGCGCGAAGGGAGATCGAGAGCGAGAGAGGGAGCGTGAGCGAGAGGAAGAGGCCGAAGGCCTCATTCCTTTGGCCATTTAACGACGCGAGGTCGTCGTGCGATGAAACGACGTCGATCGTGCGCGGGATGGCCACGACGTGCGAGCAGGTAAGTGATTTGATTTTTATTTTTTATTTTACTGGTTACGGGTCAACAAATAGCTTCAACAACAAAAGAAATTAGTGGCTATCACAGTCAATCCAATCCATAGGATTTGACTAGAGATGGCTTCCTAAGATCTCACCATCTTTCTTTAAGATATGATAACTCCCAAAATAATTTGACGCATAGTTGGTGATGTTGTTAGATCTTTTTCATGCATTGGCAAATTTGGGAGCAATTCGGGCTAGGTACTTAATGAGTACGATATAAAATATAAGCATTTGGTTATCTTGGAATAATGCTGAGTTTTCGCCAATATAAAGCATTGTATCTAGTTGTAGTCTATTTGCGCACATGAAATTTTGGAAGGCTAAGTACTTTTTTTTTGGAAGACTAAGTACTTAATGTATATCCAATATTATATATAACACATATAACAGTAGCTCTTGGTCATTTTGAAATGATGCTGATTATCACTATGACTTTGCTGTAATTTGTCATGGTTAAAAGACAACCTACATCTAGTTCAAAATAATCCCGAGAGAACAAAATTCCACCACATATTGAGTCAATTATAAAGTGTATAATGACTTGTAGCATAGTTCCCCCATAAATGTTATCTCAAAATACATAATAAACTTGAGGGAATAATTTTTAGGCTATTGGAATGATCTTGAACATTTTTGCGGCCCCTGTGGTATGCCTCAAGGTGCGGCGAACTTAAAATTTTATTAAACAATCATGATGTGCATTTGACTTTATATGATTACATGTCCCACAACTTTTGCTCCCATTTAGCAAACGTATACCCGTGGTATAAATTAATCTAAATTAATGCTGAAGTCATTAAATTATTTTAATTTTAGTCAATTATTGAATAGCATTTATATTTAAGTAATAATTCAACTTATGTGATTTTTTTTTATTCTAGTCACACATCAATTGAAGAAGACAAGGATGAAAAGCATGAGGAATGAGGAGTTAAGGAATGCATCTTACTAACATTTTTTTATATGATTTAATAGGTTTGTGACAATTTGGCTTTAAAATTCAAATCTGATTTATATCCTCATGAAATTTAATTTTTTTCCTGGAATTGTTTTTAATATTTATGAAATTTAAAAATAGATCAAATTTATGGGTATTAATATTCCGTTTTCTCTATGCTTACACCCCTATCTAACAAGTGATACAATTCGTCTTATATCTCTGCATTTTAAAACATCTCCCGTAATATTTGATCTATATTGGGAATATGAAAAAACAAACTATAATAATATTTTATTCTAAATAGATTGTTATTGTAATTCCATAAATCATATTATTATTCTGCATAAAAACTTTAGCATAGGAGCATCAATTTCCAAGCGTAAATATTTTCTTGATTATAAATATTGTCCCATATTATAAATTGAGGTGTCACTAGAATATAAAATACAATATTGACATTACTTTGAAAAATTCTTAGTACCAACATGGATCTCGATGCAAATTTGAATAGGAAACTTCCAAAATTTGATTCAGAATTATCTGAACTCCAATTTCAGCAAACTTATTATAACACCCCATGATACCCCTTAACAGTAACATAGAGTGTCACATAAATGAGCATAACATTCAATCTTTATCTTTTATCATCCCTCACATAATTTCATACTTGAATAAAAACATCCAACTACAATTTCATTTATATAATAAATGGAAGCATCTACTTAATCCAAATTTCATAACATAATTATTTACAGAGCCACTAAGAGAAACCAAAGAGAATACAATTCTGAGCAGGCTACATACCTCAAATGTAGACTTGCAAACATTGCAAAACAGAAGAAACATTAAGTAAAATAAACTTTTTTTTTTTTGGACATTTAGGCCAATTAAGGCAAACTCACACACACAACGCATACACATAGACTCGAACCTTGGACCTTTTGGTTGGAAGCCTAAGCTCTCAACCAACAGGCCAAGGAGAGTTGTGTAAGTAAAATAAACTTGAACATATTATGTTTGAAAATTTTCTTTTCCTTTTTTTGTAAGAACAAGTATAAAATAATTGATGAGCTATGAGGTTTAATAAATTATGCAAATTAAATAACAGTTAAATTACATAATTGATTATAAAACTCACAAAATTGAAATCATAAATTAATTAAACTTGACATTATTTATAAAACAACATAAATTGATATTAGCATTAACATTTACTTTCTTTGAAGTTTATTATGAATATCAATATTAGTATTTTAAAGATTTGACTAAACTTTCATCAAAATATTCAATAGAGCCCAGATAAACCTGACATTATCATCATTGAACAACATAAAGGTCTTTTTTGCTCCACTTATAATGCAGTGTCATACATGGGAATCCTTTTGCCCCACCTGCAATTGTAAGTTTACATCATCATTTTATAACTAAATTTTACTAAATTGATATTCAATAAACTTCACGTATTCATAGTTCATACTTATATTGTAGGGTTGCAAATTTCCGTTATAACATTATTGTTATACTATTTGCATGAAAATCATAGGTATATAGTACTTACAGAATAATACTTCTTTTCAAAATGTTCTCAATTGGAAAAATATTTAAACATTCATATTACACTTTATTCTAAATTTGATTCACTCAAATTTGTAAGTGGTTGCTCATACATGAATACTTGGTTGTAAACATGCATTAATAACATCATTAACTCTTTCCTTAAATTCTCATTAAATGATAGTGTATGTGGCTACAAAACTAACAGTATATATTTTTTAAATTAAATTTGTATTACTAACCTTCTTGAAGAGCAGATTCCTCAAATCCTCTACCTCGTACCCTTCTTCAATTTTAAGTTACCTACAATCATCTCTTTTACATTCCATAAATTCCACAATCTATTGCTTAATTAATTTTGCATAATATTAACTTATATTGAATATAATATATTACTTCAAAACCTCCCTTTTGCATATATCCAGATAATTTCTTCCGTTGGTGAAGTCTCATTTAAGTGTTTGTACTACCATTTGGAATTTAATAAAAAGAGCATAACATTGCAATATAACCAATTTGCTTATCTTGATTTTCTCCTCTGAATTTTCTTTCTTATTCTTCTTTCCTCAATTTCTCTTCTTATTCTTCTTCTTATTCCTTCCTCTGCTTATTACTTCACAGAATTCACTGCTATCTCCACATCCAACCGATCTTAGCTATACCCGCACAAAGCTTCAATCTTCACATAATCCCTTAAGTCGTTGTTTGCTTACCGACCTCCTTCACATCAATGTGCCACTCTCTTCTACAATGTCTGAGAACACTGTGTCGAACCCACAGGAACACTATGCCGAACTCTCAACCACAGTAATTCCTACACTATGCCGTTCCTTTCTCTAGCAAGGCACTGCACTGTGCTGCTCCCTTCCCGGTGCACTAAAATGTGCCGTGAATTGCAATAGTTCTCTCACCCAATTCTCCCCAATGCACTAACTTCTTACATGCGTGAATCAGAAGAAAGGAGAATGGGACCCACCACTATAACTAAACGCCAAAACATCTCTTCCAATACAAGCATCTATTCAGATAAATTTTTATATTAATTACTATTTCTTCTAAGATGTACCTAGAGTAACCGATAATATTAGATATATTAAATAAAAGAAAAAAAAAATCTATTTTTCATTACCTGTATTTCGGATTTTGCACTTATAGTCGAATTGAACTCAATGAAATGTTCCTATTGAAGCTGAAAATGATCTTATCCAACTCCAAATAAGCTCAAATCAAGCACTTGAATTATATATGTTAATTTCTGAACAAAAATTAATGGACCAAGCGACCTCCAATTATAACATGTTTATAGTTAAATCGATGAGATGATCTAACGAGTCTAATATCACTCGATTCTGACATCATTAAGGTAGTCAAATTTTTTTTTTTAAATGTTCTATGATCAAGGGGATCAATATGGACAATATGATATGGTGTTTTGGATTTCGGCTAAATTTATCAATTGTTTGCCTCAAAAAGTTTATAAACAGGGTCTCGCTTTCTTCAGAAAGATAGGTTTAAGAGCAGAGAGAACTAAAGAACTCTCTTGTATTTTTTTATTATCACTTTCGACGATCACCACCAGCAGTCATTGCCACCATATCCAATATTCAGGCTATAAATTGGGCACTTGTACTGTAACTATTCCCATCTTCTTAGACTTTATGGACCTGAAAAACTTTTTAAATAACTTAAAAATCTTAATCAATTGCGTCCACCTTAAAGGTTTTATTATTATTTATTAAATTATTTTTCTGCTTTATTACTTTATCTTATTCATATTAGTTGGGATTGCAGCCATCTCTAAGGGCCATTAAGGAGCGGGAGCTACAATCTTACATTCTTCAGCTGCAGCAACAGTACAGTATCCGTATTTTTGAAATTTCACTCTTCCGAAAACCTTCTAGTTTCTTGAAGTTTTTGTGCAACTGATCTTTCCAGGGTTGATAATCTTGCTGATGAGTTGCAGATAACTAAATTTAAAAATGCACAGGTTGGTGTTGAAATTAGGTCTCTATTGTTCTGTTACAATATTTCAAAATACGATATCTTTAGAATTACATTTGCATAGCTACACTTATGAAACATCTATTTAAACTTTTTTTTTCAACTAGCAAGAATAATTAAGAAAAAATTAACAATGTTTTTTATAGACATCATTATTACAATTATGTACAAGCTGTGAAAGACTTATGTTTATCTTTTTTCTTATATAAAAAGCAGATTTATATCTCAAATAGGGCATAATATTAATTTTAGATGAGTACCAGTTATATACATGGAGAGTATCACATATGCCAATGAATATTTAGATTAAAGAGTGTCCTAGGCTAGACTCAAAACTAGTGACATTTTTACACTGAGAATTAGGGAGTATAGTGCTTGAGCTAAGAACTCTTTATTTGGCGCACTCTTATATATATATATAGTCTATTTAATTATTTATAAAGAAAAAAAAAATCTTCTTTACCATTCGTATTCATAGCTATTATCTGTTTTGCACTTGTGTTTGAAGCTACCTTCCTTCATTGTTTTCAGTTGGAACGGAAGCTATATTCTTTTCAGAAGGAAAAAGATGATATTAACGAAAATGATATACCATAAGGGGATATTCTCAGTAGCCACACAGAAGAGAACACCGAACGCACAGTATCCCCCACTGCTGTATCATTCTTCATAGAAGGGCTCCAGGCAACTACGTTCATATTCTTTCATTGTAATACTACGTAGGATTGTAATGCGGCTTAGATATGAACAGCCCTTATATGGGACAATTTTTTCCCCTTGTAAATGCTTATATATTTGTAATTTATTATTAATGAAATGGTCTATTGTGCTATGTGCAGCTTTTGATAATCATGCTGGCACCCCTTCTATTTTTTGTATGGCACTTTTTAGAAATGAATAATGCGTTTGCAATGGCATTCTTGATTAAGGAAATTGTGGGATCATTGGCTTTAATTGTCCACACATTTATTTGATTTAGTCTTCGTTTGGGACGATTTTTTCACTGCTTCTTAAAACAGCTTCTTAGTATAAAGGTTTAAACTTTTGTACTAAGAAGTTGTTTTAAGCAGTAGTAAGAAAGATGTCCCAAACGAAACTTTAATGTAAAAATTAAGAGGATATTATATTTTATGAAACTACGTGAATAAGAGAAGATCATATTCAGAAGATTGATGTTCTGACTTTATAAGAATAAGCTTGTCTAAGTGAAAAAAATGGCCCTTGCAGTAATAGTATTATGTGATTCTATTCAAGTGTTTGTGTGATTATTGTTATGAAACTTATATTTTTTCTGATAATTCATTTTATGACAATTGCATCATGAGTTATAGTCTTCCTTATAATATATCTGCTATGATTGTTGCTGTGTTGATTGTATTTCAATCACTAAACTAAAAAGTAAGAGATGTATTTTGAGAATAACAATTCTTCATATCACTTGTTTGGGTTCTCAATTTGTCATAGAACCTGGAGTATGAAGCTTTACACTTTCAATGTATATAAATTTAGGCAATTGCCTCTCCTAAAAGTTTTAAAATGCAATGATCTTTTAGGCAATTGCCCTAATATAATTAAACACATTATGTGTATATGTTATTGTTAAGGAGTGATGAACTAAATATAAAGATAAATAGTAAAGATAATTGGTCGAATCTCGCAAGGGGGCGCTATCCCCTTGGACCCCGAAAATATTTGTGAAGTGTAGAATGATCAAGGATATGAATAAATAGAGGTTGAGGGGCAGCATCCCCAGAATAAATTTTGATTGTAAAGATATTTATGAAAAAAAAAATCTTTATATTTTTACTTATAAAATTGCCCCCCTAAAAACTAAGTTTGGTTCTACCATGATTGTATGTCATAAGCAATTATTTAATAGAAATATAATTTAGAACACATAATTTATCCTAAAGTCGAATCAATTAATATAATAAACTTATAATTTTATCCTAATTTTATCATTTAAATATAAAATTAATTTGAATGAAAGCTTGGTTTTAATCTAAAAGAATTAAAATGACTACCTACAATACCTATGTTTGGATAGAGAGATAAAAGATTTGGTTGGCGAAGGATTGAGAAGAAAATACAACAACTCTGTCACATTTAAAGATGAAGAAGTGTCGAAGAGATAGTTAGAGAGTACTGTAAGATTATGAGATGTGGCTTCTTCAATTAACGACTCTCTAGCATACATAGTTTCTTTTTTTTTTTTAGAATAAAGGTGATGCATAAGATTGTGCGAATTATACAGGAATTAAGTTAATGTGTCATACTTTAAAATTATGGGAGCGAGTTATATAGCATAGGTTGCGGAGTGATACTAATGTTTCTCAAAATCAATTTGGATTCATGCCGGGTAGGTCGACTATGGAAGCCACACATTTATTAAGGGTTTGATGGAGAAATATAGAGAAAATAAGGAAGATTTACATATGATATTTATTGATTTAGAAAAAACATATGATAAAGTTCCAAGAGAAATGCTATGGAGAGTACTTGAAAAGAAAGGAGTTAATAACGCTTATATTCAAATCATTAAAGATATGTATGCAAGAGCTATTACTTGTGTTCAAACACAAGGTGGTTTGACCAAGTATTTTGCTATTTTGGTTGGGTTACATCAAGGATCAGCCTTAAGCCCATATCTTTTTGCTGTAGTCATGGATGTTCTCACTAGACATTTGCAAGAGGATGTACCTTGGTGTATGCTTTTTGCCAATGATATTCTTCTTGTTGTTAAGACTAGAGAGGGAGTTGAAGATAAACTTGAATTATGGAGGTCAAACTTAGAGTATAAAGGTTTTCACTTGAGTAGATCTAAAACGGAATATATGGAGTGTAATTTTAGTAGTAATAGACCTAGTGAGGGGATTGTGACTTTGGACGATCAAGTCATTAATAAGAGTACACGTTTTAGATTTCTTGGATTTATTGTTCAGAGTGATGGTGAAATTGATAAGGATATTATCAGCAGAATTCAAGTTAGATGGTTGAAGTGGAGGAATGCATCGGGCTTGTTGTGTGATAAAAAAAAGTACCCCTCAAGCTTAAGAGAAAATTCTATAAGATGGTGGTGACGCTTGCAATGCTTTATGGTGCCGAATGTTGGCCATTAAAAGAGAAACATAATACTAAGTTAAGTGTGGCAGAGATGAGGATGCTCAGGTGGATGAGTGGCTTTACCCTTATAGATAGGATACAAAATGAGCATATATGTCATACGTGAAAAGGTTGGAGTAGCTCCAGTAGAAGATAAGAATAGAGAGAGTCGCCTTAGATGGTTTGGTCACATAAAACGGCAGCCTCCCGATGATCTGGTTAGGAGAGTAGAGATATTAGATTTGACTTATGTTAAGAAAGGTAGAGGCAGACCAAAAAAGACTTGGTTAGAAAATATTAGAAATGACATTTCTTTATTAGATTTAAATGAGAATTTGATTTTTAATAGGAGACAATGGAGAAAAAGGATTCATGTATCCAACCCCACGTAGTGGAATAAAGTCTTGATGATGTTGTTGTTGTTGTACCATACATAATTTCTTTATTTTAATGGGGCATTATAAAGAAAGCTCAACTGAGTAGTATTTATCAATGCATGCTTTTTTTGCCTATTTTGAGGTCCTGGTTTTGGAGCTTTTGCCTCAATTGAAAAGTTTGTTCTTCCTTTGGCCTTTTTTAGTATGTGATCTCATTGTTACATTTTGGCTTCAAATCTTATAATGTTCCTTAAATTTAATATATCCATATCTACTATCTAATAGTTATACATGCATGAAGATTTCCAATAACCTAATGGGTCATAACTATTCAAGTATTTATGATACATACATATTTCAAATATAGTGCGAAGTAAATTATATTTTATTTTATTAAAGTTGTTTGGATGATCGTAAAAAAATTCCTTTTTTTTATTTAGTTAGTTATAAATTTAAACCAATATTGGTTTGAGGGATAGATAAATGACGAGGGTGGGACTTAAGGGGGCAACATTCTTAAAGGAGCTTTCAGGGTTCCAACATGGTCATCGTGGTTGTAAGTGAGGTCGAGATCAATTGCATAGGATGGTAAGATTGTCATAGTCACAAGCGCCAGTAGTGTGGTAGTCATTAGTAATCACATTTATTTCCCTCGCCGATGTCGCCTTGCAAAGAGAGGGAAATTTTGTGTCATTTCCATCGTTGACGTTGCCTTGCGAATGTATAATAATTCCTAACTCAAAACCCCACTTTTGGTGCTCGAAGCACGCCCAAGGGCCTTTAATGTATGCTCTTCATAGCATTGTTGGAGGAAATATGGTGTGGTGCATGTGGTTAGGTTGGTAGGCCTTGTACACGCTCTTTTTAGAGTGACAAGGATAACTTTAAGTACCCATACACGTAGCATGTACAAGGCTAACTTTAAGTACCCGTACGCGTCTTAGTGCCTCGAAGAAAGCAACTTTTTTTTTCAAACAAGTACCTCGAAGACTCGTACACGCTCTTCGCATTGTGGTGGGGGTTCAAGATTCACGACCATGGTGTCGTCCGACACCTTTCATACATGCTCTTCATGGCATGATGGGAAAGCCCATACTCTCAGATTTCCCCTAAATAGGGGAGATGCCAAGAGGCTGCTAAAATTTTCACTAAAAGAGGACCTAAACTCTAACAACTGAACATAAGACTCTAACTTGAACATGACAGAGGGAACCATACATTAAGACAACAAATGCGCAATCATAATGAAAATATAAGCATTAAATGACAACATTGATTATTAAAATAAAAATAAAATGCAAATATACTAGAATGGGGTTTACGATGAATACAATTTTAACATATGATGAACAAAGCCCTAACATTAATTAAGAGTGATGCACAATCTAATTGCAAGAAAAGAAATGAACATATATTGCAAATCATGCAAGGACGATAATGATCAATTGTGACATTTGTATCAATCATATAAGCAAGTGTGCAAGGACTTGTGATAGGAGAAGAACTCCGTTTACAAACTATTCACAAACAATGATTCAAAGCTTTCAAGTGAATATCAATGAACGAGATTATGGCGTGAACCATGATCTATTTTTAAATATAATGGAAAGCTTGCGGCCGCCTACATGGCTCATTTATAAGCTGCAATCAATGAAAACTAACTACAAGCTTGCAAGTCATAATATGAAACCTTTAATGAATAGTCTGACTCATTCATGTAGATCATACCAATTGGGATATAAATGACGACAAACAATGATGTCAATTCCACCGTGTAAGCGATCTTATTAATGTGCTCAAGAGAGTTGCAGTGATATGCTTATGAGTGAAGCATGAAAAGCACCAATTAAAGAAGCTCCTAATGAATGTGATAATTCAGTAAAGATCTCCTGATGAATGTAATAATTCATTATAAGAATAGTATAGAAAAAATTACTAGGTCCATTATGCATGCTATAGTGTGCTATCAAAGCTAACAGAGAACCTGCAGTGAACAAGTTCCCAAATATGAATTTGCAAGATAATATGCCAAAACCCTTACAAGCAACAATGACCAATATGCAATGAGCATAATGAGTTGTCGATGAATGTATGTGGAGGATATCAGCAATGCGTACACCCATTAGTCAACATCAGTTTGCAAACGGGCACATTGAACAACGTAATCAATGATAAGCAAGTATGTGGAGTCCTTGACACCATATAAGTCGCTTACAGATGATAATGGTTGAGGCATGACCCTCACATAAGTGATAAGTTAATACATCTATGCTTTACAAGTGGAGGGATTTAACATATAATGAACATAAAAGCCCCTTGTGAACGTAGATGCTTATGCGACTTACTACTTGTAGGCAAAGGAAGGATATC